AAGGGAATACTAGGACCTTGGATAATGCCCGTACCTTGTAAATAGTCCGTCCGTAAGACCCTAAGAACACGAAACTCTTGTTTAAAACCAAACAAGGTCTAATAAACAAAATAAACCTACCTCGAAACACTTCGGAGGGCTCAATAAATAATAAACAACATGTCCTTTCTTCCATGTGACATTCTGGAGGACAAAAGAAAAGGGACGCCAACGTGTCAGCAAAACACAAATACAAGTTGGGACATCCGTAACTCTACCCTAAAAATATTCAATAATAATATCGAATCTAAAAGGACAATATCTCATCTTTACCTGTTGCTTCGAAATAGCAGCTGATTCAGATTATACAGCAAGATTTAAATAATCACCATTTCTAAAAGCTGGGATAAAACAGAGCGTCAAAACAAATTGAGGTTAAGCACGGAGAGTTGACAGAAGCGATGTTGACAACGCGCGCCTTCACAGAATAGCAACAGGGTTGTGTCGAATGATCACAGGGTTGGCGACCAGGGAACGTAAAAATTATGCGTCAAATAATCTATCTGGCCTGAACGAGAGGGAATCCGGTGATGATAGGCCAGACATCATATATTATATATAAAAAAAACATGTAATGAACTAAAAACGTTACAAACTCACTCTCCTGAGTACAATGATATGCCACACTTAATATTCTTTTTGTTTCGGACATTTGAACACAATTTAATTCAACTAACTTCAAATCCGGCTCTGTTTTTTTTAAATATTTAATCTATTCGTCGTTACAATATTGGTAAGCTTTCAAACTTAATAATAACGTGGGGTAAAACATTGAATACCGAAAATCAAATACAATCAAATAATAAAAATAATATAAAATTATTGGGCATTACTTGACGTCATTTTTAAAAGTGAAATACAAAAAGTGACAATACATTTCAATATTTACAACAAAGAGTACAGAATGCATTCGGAAGTATAAGAAGAATATATGTTCAAAGAGCTATAAATAAGATTGAACGAAAAATACATTTGTGCATTAGGGATGGTGGTAACTCTTTCGAACATGTAGAGCATATACTAGTTTTAGAAACTAGTTTGTAGAAGTTGATTTATTTATAATAACTACGATTAATATTATGCATATTATTAGATCGTACACTGAGATTTCAAATTCACAATAAAAAAAATAAAAATAATATTTTTAAATTGCTGACCTGGGTAATATTTATTTGAATCTTCAATGTTAATTAGCACTGATCCATATTGTTGCGATGAATATAATCAGATTAAATAATTTAAAAAACTAGAGTCGGACTTGAAATTATTGTAAATAATAATTAAATAGTTTTGTTATTGTTAAGGTACCTAAAACAAAAAAAGTATCAAGTGTGACATATCACTGTACTCAGGAGACCGAGTTCTTTCAAAACTTCAAATAAAAAATGCAGATCCGTATTTAAAAAAATTAAGTTGGCCTCTGTATCTCACAAATTATCAGCTAATTTGAAAATCTAAAAATACTATCAGATAGCCCTAATAAAGTAGGCATGAGAATCAGCAATCCTTGAAATTTTTAAAACTTTTTTGATGGCATCTTGGTGAACATTCTAAAGCGCAACTTTGCCCTAATTTAACCATCTTCGTATCTCTTACTGTTTCCGAGACCTCGAATTTGTAGCACCCTATATAAGGTCTATTATCACTAACTTTTTTAGAAAACAAAGGTAGAATTTCAACTGAAACTGCACGACTTCTTCTTTTTAAGATAAACGGGAAATTAAGTTCTCTAAATGAGCAACAAAAATAGTTATAGATTCATTTCTTTTCTGCTTTCTCTGTCTTATCTGCTCCCAAATGTCGTCATCTGCATACGGAGGTAAAAATCGTTCTTTTAAATAAACTTTGCCAATCAGTATCAATGGATCTTATACTACGATACCAAACAAAAGCATCGCCTATAAAAAATTCAACAGCTGAGTTAAATAATTCTATTTCGGAAAAATTACGGGCTTGAGCTAAATCAGAAACTCTTTCTAAAAAATAATAAACGCTTTTCGAATCGCCATTAAATTTAATACCCCAAGATGAAATTGGTTGTTTGTTAGCGGAACAAGAAACTACCGGACTACCGGAATTATGTTCAAAACTATCGCACAGATTTTGAGTATTAGAGATTGAAACAGTTTTTTCATCTAAATCGGATTCTAACTTCAAGCAGGTAGCATACGATTCATTTTTAAATTTAATAAATAGGTTTTGAAATTACTATGAATCTTACACGACCAAATAAATGAGCTAATCGAGATTTTACCAAAGAATATTAGAGTTTTAAGAACTCTCGTGTGGAAGCTTTAGTGATTTGTCACACGGTGGCGCTTTTGACCATAATCGAAGCCTGAAAATGCTAATATTTTAAATTTTGAGGACTACGCTCGGCGATATTTCGTACGGTGTTGCCAAAACATATTTTATTTCTCGATATTTAAAGAAATATGTATTGATTATATATTTCGTATTCGTTAGTACATGAGGCATCCTAAGGCTATAAAAACATAGCTTAAGAAAATTTTAGATTTTTAATTTTTTTGTACCTTCTAATAAAAATTACTTCTATTCCAATAAAAAATTAACTAGTATGATTATGTGTTATCTGTGCTAGTATTAGGAAACTGGAGTAAATACAGAGAATATTAATTAAGGGGAGCTATATAACTAAGATGAGCACTACTAAGTAATTTTTTAAAATTCGACCCATAAGGGGTCGAATAACTAGATAAAGGGGTGTAATTATACAAAAAAAATATGTATCTACTAGGAGTATGAAACTTTTGCACAGATGTGGCGCATTTGAACATTGATAAGCGATTTTTGGAAATGTATAGCCTAAGGGTAGTGAAACTGGGGGGTGAAATTTTGTACAAAAAATGTTAGTTCTAGGAGTATGAAATTTTGTACAGAGTTTCCTTAAGTGACGAAAGTGAGTACCCAGAAGCTAATTTTTGACATTCATCCCCTAGAAATAAGGGATGAAAATTTGTACAAAAGTTTGTTACAATCAGTTTTAGAAGTATGAAATTCTGCACAGACGTTCCTTATGTAACGTAATTTAGCACTAAGTAGCACTTTTTGGAAATTCGCCCTCTAAGGGTGTGAAATGAGGGGTGAACGTTCTGAAACAATTCTGTTGAAGGATAAGGGGGTAAAACTAGGGGTGAAAATTTGTATAATATTTTATGTAAAATCCGTTCTAGGACTAGGAGTATGAAATTTTGTTCAGAGGTCCCTTAAATGATGAAAGTGAGTACCTAGAAGCGAATTTTAGGCATGCATTCCCTAAAAAATAAGGGATGAAAATTTGTACAAAAATTTGTTAAAATCGGTTTTAGAAGTATGAATTTTGCAGACGTTCCTTATGTAACGTAATTTACCACTGAGAAGCAATTTTTGGAAATTCGCCCTCTAAGGGTGTGAAATGAGGGGTGAACGTTCTGAAACAATTCTGTTGAAGGAATATGAAAATTTGCACAGAGGTTCCTTATGTAGCGTAATTGAATAATTAGAGCGATTTTTGGAATTCATTCCTTAAGGGGGTAAAACTAGGGGTGAAAATTTGTATAATATTTTATGTAAAATCCGTTCTAGGACTAGGAGTATGAAATTCTGTTCAGAGGTCCCTTAAATGATGAAAGTGAGTACCTAGAAGCGAATTTTAGGCATGCATCCACTAAAAAATAAGGGATGAAAATTTGTGCAAATATTTGTTAAAATCGGTTTTAGAAGTATGAATTTTGCAGGCGTTCCTTATGTAACGTAATTTAGCACTAAGAAGCAATTTTTGGAAATTCGCCCTCTAAGGGTGTGAAATGAGGGGTTGAACGTTCTGGAACAATAAATTCTGTTCAAGGAATATGAGAACTTGCACAGAGGTTTATTATGTAGCGTAATTGAATAATTAGAGCAATTTTTGGAATTCATTCCTTAAGGGGATAAAACTAAGGGTAAAAATTTGTATAATTTTTATGTAAAATCCGTTCTAGGACTAGGAGTATGCAATTTTGTACAGAGGTCCCATAAGTGATGAAAGTGAGTACCAGAAGAAAATTTTTGACATGCACCCCTAAAAATAAGTACCCTCTATAAAACAATTAAAATAAAAAAAATTGTCTAAAAAATAAAAAAAAGTTGGGGTGGACCACTCTTATCACTTAGGGGTATAAAAAATAGATAACCTGGGAATAGGTTGTGACCATAGACTTAGAATAAAATATAGACTACACTATTTACATTTAAGCGCGGTCAAATATTAATTTTTGTAAACATGTTTACTCCTGGGTGCAGCTGACCTCGGCCGTCTGAGTCTTTCGCCTCCAGCCTATGTTGTCACGTCTAAAATATTATTAATATTTTTTTTTGTTATAATATTATTATATATTGAGATATTAAAACTGTATTTTAATAATGTAGTGTTTAATAGCAGAAAGATGTATTAAATAGTCCCTATACTACTAAATTATAAGTCGGAGACTATTTAAAAAATGACAAATTCTTTACAATTTGGCAACACCCATCAATCGCCGGGTCGCCTGTTCATTCTTTATTCTCTCGTAGTAGAGCCATAGTAGAGTAGCACGTGTCGCAAACCTTGTTGTCACAGTTTCTCCATGGCTATTTTATTGTTTTCTTTATTGATGTTTTGATTTTGTATTTTTTGATCTGATTTTCTTAGTGTGTAGTGATTTATTTAGTGTTTATTTTATTTACTTTTTACCTTTCTTAGTTTGTAATGAATTATTATTTAGTGTTTATTTTATTTTTTGGATTTTCTTAGTTTATAGTGTCGGTTTAGTGTTTATTTCGATTACTTTTGGCTTAAAAACTATAAAACATGGTTCGTCAGTGCCAAATTTGTAAGAAATTGGACTATTTAAGTCCTGGAACAACATTCCACAGGTAAGTCAAATTTACTATTTTGGCGTCAGTGGCGTTGTAGAAAGGCGCTTATTTAGATAATAATTTAGTAAATTATAAACCCTGGAAAATCTGTATTTTTTATATTTATCATTTACGTAAAGGTTCTTACTAACCTCGTTATTAATATAACGAGTAGATACATTATTAAGTACATAAGAAGTAGACACATTATTTTCTTGGGCATTGGTTAATTTAATGCTTTTTTTTATGAAAAATGTGTTTCTTTTTATTCTAAAACCATCCTTAGAATCTAAAATAACATACAGGAATTCCAGAATGATATTCCATTATGAAACAACAATTTTTAAGGCTTATTATAAACTATAAACAATCGAGAAAGTCGAAAAAATTACAAGCTACCAAACATTTTAAAATACCAAACATTCCTTATTTTTTTTCAAGACTAAAATATTTTACAAACATTACTTTTTCCCTATAGTTTCACATCAGGTATAGAAATAACTACGTTTTTATGATAGGGTCACCATTATGATAACAAAAATGACGAACAATGGTCCAGAAATGTAAACAAGTACATATTTTTTGTAAATATTTTTCTTACCGCTTGCATTTTTGTCCATTATTATTTCACAAATTATACAGGGTTATGTAAACCAGGTAGATATTTCGTTTTTTTTATATTAAACAAAGATAAAATAAATATGCCATTTTAAAATTTATCCAGTACTTACCTAGAGTTTTTTCTTTTTTTTTCTCGACTGTTAATCTATTATTAATTTGTAATACCGTATGATCGAAAAAAACGGCGTCCAGTTGGCTTGGAAAAAACCATCGATACATACTCCATATAATTTTACATATAAAATGACAGCGATCTTCATTTCATAGCCATCGCTGACGCCGTTTTTTTTCGATTATAAGGTATAATTTTCATTTTTTCTTTTATAATGTAATATCACTTAAGTAATATCACATATAATCTGAAGATAGTTTTAGAATTAACCAAAACGTAAATCTTTAATAAAACAATCTGTTATTATTTGCCATATATGTATGTATCCAAGAAAATAATTTACATATTATTATTATATGTTTTACTGTTTTTTATCTTTATTTGAAACTCAGAAATGTTGCATTGGCTTTCTAAAAAAATGAACTTGTAAGTTTTTAAAATGCTTCGTTTCGGAGATACAGGGTGTAGAAGTTTCATTTTTATTTCGATTTTTTTCCAAATAATTTCTGAAGTGACGTCAATATTTGGACGAAAATTGGCGTTTGGGAGTTTTTTGACATGAAAAATTAGATTTAGATGTCAATTTGACTTTTACTAATAGGGGGCGCCACCTACATATTTTTTAAGTTATTTGAAGAGTAATACTTTTTGTCTGTATCTATATAAAACTACTGAGAAAAATTTACATTTCCAACGTTTTTTACTTAATAAGGTCTCTTGTTGACACTCGCCACAAGTATAGTTCTCAAGATATTTGGAAACGAATTAATCAATACATTCTTCATAAATTATTTGGAAAAAAGCGAAATAAAAATGAAATTTCTACACTCTGTATCTCTGAAACGAAGCATTTTAGGACATAAATTTATACTATTTTTTTTACTGATTTTATTTGCAGATTATGCTGCCAAAGTTTCCTGAATACAATTCCGACCACTCTGTATATCAAGATATCCCCCATTACGTACTAGTTTTTCTTAATAATTTTCTATACATTTTCCAACGCCAAGATGTACCAAGCGCATACAAATACATCAAGCTTCAAACAAGCTTGCACGTTGACAGTAATACCTACAGTAATATTGTATTATATTAATGTAATATTTTTGAACCAATGTTCAATATTACTGTAGTAATACTGTTTATACTCATGCCTTTTATATTTGTTTGAATTTGGTGCATATTTCCATTGAATAAAGTATAGTCACCATTACCATTATTATACTTACTCTATAATAAAGACAGTAACGAGTTAAATAAATGTAGTTTTCATTTTATCCACTTCCTATCACCTTCCTTGCTTTAATGGAACAGATTTATGTTTTCTCTAATTTACATAATAAGACATCACTTAACCAGAAAAAAAATTACAACAATCATATTTTTTTTTTCTCTCCCTGTCGCCGATTCTATTATATCTGTGGAATAGATCCTGTTTTGATTAATATTAGGGGTTGTAAATGTTTGACTAAAATTAATAATTTACTATTAATTTCAAAAATTACGTAATTTCGATTATAAAATTTCCTCTATAACGTGTATTTTATTATTTTTATCCTTTTTGGACTCTAAGACGTTTTTTCTAAATTTTTATTTAAAAAACCTGTCCTAAACCTTAATAAAACATAAAAAAGTTTAAATACGATATATTTTTAATTTAATTATAGCTTCATTAAAATAAAAAAAATACCCGGCTATGATAGGGAGAGTTCAGGTGTACTTGAGAAACGAAAGACAGTGTTGTGTTTTTCGGCAGAGTCGTCAGGGAACGACCGTTACGACAGAGACAACCTATCTATCGCTCGTGTCGCACTCGTTATAACCTAAAATAATAACACAACAATAACAAGACATTGTCTGACCGCATGTTCCAGCTATTTATGAATGAGATGCTCAGTCTATATTTTATTCTAAGTCTATGGTTGTGACCAAAACCAAACCAAACCACAGACCTACTGAATATACATATATAATTTTATCAAAATTGGTCTAGCCGTTTCGGGATGAACAAAAAATTTAAACAACCCCTATTGGGGATGATGGTAGAACGGTGAAAATTTTGCCCTTTTGTATTTTTTAATGCAAAATAAAAAACATATTTTTTCAAAATATAAAAAATGGTAATGGGGCTACCTTTATCACTTAAGGGTATAAAAATAGATAACAAACTATTTTCAGACCCACTAAAAAATACATAATAAAAAATAAAATATTTTTTTTCAAAAATAAAAAATGGGGTGGGCTATCTCTTATCATTTAAGGGTATAGTAGATAACAAACTATTTTCAGACCTACTCAATATAATAATAAAACGTCATAAAAATCGGCCAAGCCGTTTCGTAGATGGTAACAAAAAAACAACCCCTATTAGAAAATAGGGGATGATGGTAAAACGGTGAAAATTTAGAGTTGTTTGTATTTTTTGAGGCCAAATAAAAATTTTTTTTTTTTTCAAAAATAAAAAAAATGAGGGTGGGCTATCCTCTCGGTTACCCTTATCATTTAAGGGTATAAGAATAGATAACAACCTATTCTTAGACGTACTGGATATACATATAAAATTTTATCAAAATCGGTCTAGCCGTTTCGGGGATGGTAACAAAAAATTTAAAAAAACAACACCTATTAAAAAATAGGGGATGATGGTAGAACGGTGAAAATTTTGGGTTCTTTGTATTTTTAATGCAAAATAAAAAAATATTTATTTTCAAAATATAAAAAAATGGGAATTATCACTTAAGGGTATAAAAAATAGATAACAAACTATTTTCAGACCTACTCAATATACATAATAAAATTTCATCAAAATCGGAGATGGTAATAAAAAAAACAACCCCTATTAGAAAGTAGAGGATGATGATAGAACGGTGAAAATTTAGAGTTGTTTGTATTTATTAAGGCCAAATAAAAAAAAAATTTTTTTTTCAAAAATAAAAAAAATGAAGGTGGGCTACCCTCTCGGCTAGCCTTATCACTTAAGGGTACCGTGAAGTGGAGTGACTTTGCCCAATTCTGAATTTTAAATCGTGTTTATTTCAAAAATTGTTGTATTTTCTCAAATAAGCATGGTCTATGCTATAAGTGGTAATAAGGACAACACAACATAATACGCTTTTTTTGTTTATTAAGATATATATATATATATATATATATATATATATATATATATATATATATATATATATATATATATATATATATATATATATATATATGACCAATGCCACCCCATTTAAGTAATTAGCGGAATATGCTTCATCACCCTCAATATAAATATATATATATAATTATATATATTTATATATAGCAGCATATATATATATATGGTTATATATAGCAGCATATATATATATATATATATATATATATATATATATATATATATATATATATATATATATATATATATATATAGTTATATATATATATATATATATATATATATATATATATATATATATATATATATATATATATATACAAAAGCAAAATAGGGGATGATGGTAGAACGGTGAAAATTTAGAGTTGTTTCATTTTTGAGGCCAACAGTAACATTTTTTTTCAAAATAAAAATGAGGGTGGGCTACCCCCTCGGCTACCCTTATCACTTAAGGGCATAAGAACAAATAACAACCTATTAGACGTACTGAATATACATAAAATTTTATCAAAATCGGTCAAGCCGTTTGGGAGATGGGAACAACAAAAAACTTAAACAACCCCTATTAAAAATAGGGGATGATGGTAGAACGGTGAAAATTTAGGGTTGTTTGTATTTTTTAATGCCAAATAAAAAAAATATATATTTCATTTTTCAAAAAAATAAAAAAAATGGGGGTGGGCTACCCTTATCCCTTAAGGGTATAAATAGATAACAACGTATTCTCAGACCTACTGAATATACATATAAAATTTCATCAAAATCGATCAAGCCGTTTCGGAGATGGTAACAAAAAATTAAACATCCCTCATTAAAAAATAGGGGATGATGGTAGAACGGTGAGAATTTAGGGTTGTTTTGTATTTTTAATGCCAAATAAAAAAATTAAAATATTTTTTTCAAAAATAAAAAAATGGGGGTGGGCTACCCTTTATCACTTTAAGGGTATAAAAAATATATAACAACCTATTTTCAGACCTACTCAATATACATATAAAATTTCATCAAATCGGCCAAGCCGTTCCCGGAGATGGCAACAAAGAAACAACCCCTCATTAAAAATAGGGATGATAGCAGAACGGTGAAAAATTTAGGGTTGTGTGTATTTCTTAATGCCAAATAAAAATAAAAAACATTTTTTCTTCAAAACTAAAAAAATGAGGGTGGGCTACCCTCTCTGCTACCCTTATCAGTTATGGGTATAAAAAAATAGATAACAACCTATTCTTAGACGTACTGAATATACATATAAAATTTTATCAAAATCGGTCTAGCCGTTTCGGGGATGGTAACAAAAAATTTAAAAAAACAACCCCTATTAAAAAATAGGGGATGATGGTAGAACGGTGAAAATTTTGGGTTCTTTGTATTTTTTAATGCAAAATAAAAAAATAAAAAAATATTTTTTTTCAAAATATAAAAAAAAATGGGAATAGGCTACCCTTATCACTTAAGGGTATAAAAAATAGATAACAAACCATTTTCAGACCTACTCAATATACATAATAAAATTTCATCAAAATCGGCCAAGCCGTTTCAGAGATGGTAACAAAAAAACAACCCCTATTAGAAAATAGGGGATGATGGTAGAACGGTGAAAATTTAGAGTTGTTTGCATTTTTTAAGGCCAAATAAAAAAAATTAAAATATTTTTTTTTTCAAAAAATAAAAAAAAATGGGGGTGGGCTACCCTTATCACTTAAGGGTATAAAAAATATATAACAACCTATTTTCAGACCTACTCAATATACATATAAAATTTCATCAAAATCGGCCAAGCCGTTTCGGAGATGGCAACAAAAAAAACATAAAAAAACAACCCCTATTAAAAATAAGGGATGATAGCAGAACGGTGAAAATTTAGGGTTGTTTGTATTTCTTAATGCCAAATAAAAAAATAAAAACATTTTTTTCTTTTCAAAAACTAAAAAAATGAGGGTGGGCTACCCTCTCGGCTACCCTTATCTGTTAAGGGTATAAAAATAGATAACAACCTATTCTTAGACGTACTGACTATACATATAAAATTTTATCAAAATCGGTTAAGCCGTTTCGGAGATGGTAACAAAAAACTTAAAAAAACAACCCCTATTAAAAAATAGGGGATGATGGTAGAACGGTGAAAATTTAGTGTTGTTTGTATTTTTTAATGCCAAATAAAAAAAATTAAAAATATTTTTTTTTCACAAAATAAAAAATAGGGGTGGACTACCCTTATCACTTAAGGGTATAAAAAATATATAACTACCTATTCTCAGACCTACTGAATATACATATAAAATTTCATCAAAATCGGTTAAGCCGTTTCGGAGGAGTACGGTAACCAAAACTGTAACACGGGAATTATATAAGATAATATTATATGTAAACTACGGAGTGCGGAGAACGGAAAGACTGATTATAGCAATAGATAATATTTAAAACTATAATTTAAAACTATCAAGAAAGTACACACGAAACAAGGCAACGCTGCGCGTCTATTCGTTCAATCCCGAGCAAAATAGCGAGGCTCCTGAGCGAAGCATAGCTCTGCTCGCCAAAGCGAGGCCCCATCGACAGGTCAAGTGATGCGAGACGAGACTTCTAGCACAGAATATCTAGCTACGCAACAGAAGCCTCGTTACATGTATAAAATTGTAGGTAGCAAAGGAGACAGGCTTTTAAAGCATACATTACATAATATATATATGTTACATATATATATATATATATATATATATATATATATATATATATTATATATATATATATATATATATATATATATATATATATATATATATATATATATATATATATGGTATGTATATATATATATGGTATATATATATATATATATATATATATTATATTATATATATATATATATATACATATATTATTATTGTTATTATGAAGAGTTATTATATATTATTATATATTATTATTACATATTATATATATATATATATATATATATATATATATATATATATATATATATATATATATATATATATATATCTTAATAAACAAAAGCGTATTATTGTTGTGTTGTCCTTATTACCACTTATAGCATAGACCATGCTTATTTGAGAAAATACAACAATTTTTGAAA